TATATATATATATATATATATATATATATATATATATATATATATATATCGAATGATTCAGACCAGTCGTGCCAGCTATTTTTTTTAAATTGTGACGTCCCAGGAAGTTAAACAAAAAATTTTCATTACGGATGGGCATCCAAAGTATTGGTTTTAATTTTCTGGACAAACCGAAGTAGGTGTAACTGGGGTATTTTGGAATTTTGGGTTAATTTTGAAATTTCAAATAGGAACATAGTTTGAGTGGAATATTGTTGGATAGAGATTGGAGGAAGAAACAGCTTTTATTGCAATTTAATTTATTGTAATTATCTTTTACAGTTTTCGAGAAAATTAAGGATGATTCAATCCACCCATTTCAGCTATTTTTTTTTAAATATGATGTCACAAGGAGTTAGGCAAAAAATTTTCATGAGTAATGGGCACTCAAAGTATTTATTGGTGATAGTTTTATTTTTCTGGGTAAATCGAAAATAGGTGTAACTTAGGTCAGTTGCAGCACTCAAATGTTTTTTTTTTCGAAACTTGTAAGAAATAATTATGTAGTTGTAAGAGATAAATTATGTCTCAATAAAAGTTGTTTCTTTTTCAAAGTTTTATCTAACAATATCTTATTTGACCTACGTTTCTAGGTGAAATTTCAAAATTTAAAAACTTCGCAGTTACACCTATTTCCAGAAAAATGAAACTATCAGTGAATGTTTTGGGTGCTCATTAGTAATGAAAATATTTTGTCTAATTTTCTGTGATGTTATATCTTTGAGAGAAACATCTCCCATGGGTGGATCGAATCACTCTCAATTTGCGTATAAAAGTGCTGGGATAAAATCATCGAGAGAAGTAAATGCTCTTTCCAAGAGATATTTCACATTTTATTTTCATATACTTTATACTCATCGTGTAGACTTGCATGTAAGTGCAACACTTTGTACGCGCGCGAGTAACGATAAACTAGCGACCACGAGGCCTGTTCGCCGCCGTAAGCGGAGAGCCGTGCTGAGCAATGGCACACGGAGAATTATGCGGGTGTTACCGTCTACATAAATGAGGCCCTGAGACGCGGTAGTAGGACGTCATGCTGCGAACGGTGTATCTCCCCGCATTTGCGGCACGTCCTAAACAACGCCGTCGCGCCGCGGACATTTGTGGCCCGTGAGAGGTTCGACCTCCCAGTTACGTCGTGTCGCTCAATAATTCAGCATTTATTGCGCTACCGTGATACAACGTTCTACTTATGAATATTCCTTTGTGCGGGAGTCATGGCTCTGTATCCTCTTTAGCTCCTACAATATATGTATACGTGGCGAACGACCTTGCCATGTTGTGGACACTGCGTATTTCTACTCATCGAGAAGGCGAATGGCATTTTTATTATGTCGAGTCACTTTCCGTGGGCGCCTCTTCCCTCAAATTCATTCTTTCTTTGGCTGTAGGACTTGTGCATCTAGTGACACGCTTAGGAGAAGAACGAGATTATGTATTGTAACTCCGCGCTTTGCACATTCTCGTGAAATTATTCAAGGTGCTATCGAAGTAATAAGATCGAATCGGCTTTGTGATCAATAACATGCACGTTTGACTCGTGGCGGTGCAACGCTCGGGATGCGTCATTCCAACGTGAGATCTTAATAATGCAACGGACAAATGTCAGATTTGACACTGCAGTTTAAATTCTCAACGACCGAAAAAGAGTCAACAAGCGACAAATTACACCGAAGAATACGTTTTCGAGCAAACACTCCGCATTTAAACATCTCTATACGAGATGTTTATGCGTAAAGGTGTCCCGGGGCTGCAGACACTCGAAATATCGTCACTGGGAGACAAGTGCCGCTTAAATGAAGAGCATTCCGTTCGTCGCGTGCACAATCCGACAGCGGCAATTGCACGTTAATTTCGTAAAATCGTGCAATCATTGCCGAGAGGGAAATAGACAGACAAAGAACGAGAGAGAGAAAGAGAGAGAAAGAGCATTTCGTGCGCGCGTACTTAAGAATAATGCATCGCTCAAAATTGCGGAATACGTTAATCGTGGCCGTTGACGCGGCCGACTGGAAAACGACGTTAAAACTCGTCGCGCGCTCGTTAATCGTATCGGATTTTAGTTCTCACCCGCTTCGGGGTGCCCGACGTTTCGTTTCACGGCGGGCGCACTTTGGATCGAAGGGAGAGAGGCAGGAAGAGGGAGCGGAGGGATGATTATAAGCGCGGCGATGTTTTCCGTCAGGTCAAAAGCGCCGACCGTTAGCGGTGAATTTCGATGGCGCGACCGATATTGTTCTCGTTACGTGGCGCGGGAGGATCGCAAATAGACGTGTGCAAAGTTCGGCCGAGTTAGCGGACGGAAATTAATTAGGCATCGCGTTTAATCGGGACTTTTTTCTTTCTTTGCCCGCGTGACTGCGCGCATTTCTCGTAATTTCTGTCGTTTTATTATACTCGGAGAAAATCTTCGGGGGGATATTCTTTTGCATTTTAATATATATTTTTATAGAGACAGGCTGATTATGTAAATTGAGTTTTATAATGAAGTCACGCCGGAATGGCTCTCGAATATTAGTTATTTTATTTTCCTTTTTTTTTTACACCAGTAAGGTTAACGAGTCCATGGAGTATCGACAAAGCTTCTAGGTAAATGGATGGTCGTATTAAGTTTCTCTTTGACGGCGGTACAAACGAAAGAATGCGCGTTTCATAAAAAAGACAGAGAGAGAGAGAGAGAGAGAGAGAGAGAAAGAAAGAGAAAAGCAGGGAAAAAGAATAACGGCATAAATTCCATTACGGGATGATTTCCGGGAAATAAATTTATAAATGAGATAGCGCGGCACATTATTTCGCTTGATTAAAATAAAAGCTACATCGTGCAGCGCGCAATTTCATCAACGGCATTAGGAATATTCTACGTGACCTTTCCTTGCGAGAGAACGATCATGAGGCGACCCGCCCCGCCATTATCTCCGAAGCGAGATAGAATTTCTCGACGGAGAGTATAATTCACTAATTGTAATGAACCAAGCAATCATTAATATTTCGTTAAACGCAGATTTAACAATCGGCGTATATTTGCGCAGGCAAGTGACCTGTGATGGCTTTTGAATGCTCACTCGCAACGGCTATTATTACGATTAGCGTCATTGATGTGGCACAGCAGAATTAAATTTACTAATTCCTGTGCACTCTCGCGCCGGCCAATCGTCGGGATTTTCGCAATAATTTCCCCTCATTTTAAAGATACATGTGTATATATTATTATTGTTTATATATTATAATATGCGCGCGCGAGTCATATAACCGTGACAAAAGTATTCTCTTTGTCGAGTCGACGTCGCCGGCAGCGATCGCAACGTTACGCCCGGACGGAAATCTGCTGATCGCCGCCGATCGAATCGTTCCGGGCGCAAAGCCGTGACGGTTATCTCGCGCATTATTCCGTTCGAGCGGCCGAAATGGTAATAGTTAATTAATTAACGATTAATCGATTGCGGCCGCGCTACCACGCCGCGCGAGAGCGTTTTACACAACGCGACGGATGGTAGTTTCGATCATGCGACGGAATGTTTCAGCGAATGGTGCCGATTACGTGCCGCCGCGCGCGCACAAAGCTGCGAATTCGCTAACTTTGAACACCCCGCGAACGCGAATCGAATTGCATCGATTAACGAATGAAATCAGATTACGGCGAGCAGCCTACCATTATACGACACGAATGCAGAAAGTAGCTCGCGGGTCATTCATTATACAAACTGCGAGCAATGTTATGCTTCTGATGGAAGTTTCGCACGGTCTATGACCTGCCCGCGCAATTAGCGTTAAATGTCGCGGTCTAATTTCCATCTCATGTTTAAATTGAACGTAACCGGGAGAGGTGCGTGCGTTCATATTAGAGTAATAAAATCCGGAATGAGGAAATTATAATCTGCGCTGCGAGTGTTAAATACAGGTCAGTACGATAGTAGTTTATGCGTTTCGTTGGCAGACGCGCATCAATAGGCTTTGCAGTAGGTTTTCAGTAGGCTCTCAGTAGGCTTTGGCGGAATGCTCACTTGAGACGTAAACTTTATAGAAACGAAAGCACGCAAGTGAGCATTTCGCCAAAGCTTACTGAGATCAAGCACAACTACGCGCACATACCAGTAAAGGGATAGATAACCTGTCGCACTAATCTATATGCAACACTTTGTATACACTTCGCCGAAAAATAGCTTTAACATTTTTTTCACTAGCATCAATCGAAACAATGTTAAAGCTATCCAAGCTATTTCAGCGGAGTGTATATGTACACTAAATCAAAACGGTTTGGAACTAACCCTTTTTATAGAAACGTATATGTCAATCTGTCAAAATGACACGCCATATGAGCACGCCATATAACCCTCTTTATTGACACGTACGACACGTCAATTTGTCAAAATATCACTTCTGCTCTGAACACGTTCTCACTTCTTCAACTGATCAGTCATGGGAAACGCATAGCTAGAGATGAATGTGTCCGGCCAAAGTCTTTAGTTACTATCGATATATCGATAGTATGGCATCCACATGAAACCGAGTACAAGTGAGTTGCGAAACGATTTACATAATGAAGTTGTGTCTAATTGGAACTCACCTAACTGTCAAAATTGGGAGTCATTACCAACGAGTTTGCCCCTCCACAGTCATTATATTATTATTGTTATTATTTCTAATCATTGGTATTATTATTATTTATTAATATAGAGTGTCCTTAATTATGTTATTGTGTAAATCTATCGGTAATGATCTTTAAAATTTTGACAGTTTGGTGAATTCCCAACCTCATTGTGTCTGAACCGTTTTGCAACCTACTGTAATATAAAATATCTTGACTGAAATTCGTCCTGGGCGAGAACAAAAGTTGTCGATCAATAGAAAAGCGCTTGTTGTAGCGACCAAATTGTGTTTTCATCATGTAAAATGTCTACCCAAGTTCCTCAGGCCGATAATTCCAAATTATCCAGTTCCAAGAATCGTTAATTGTAATCAAGTGGATTGTTTAATCAATAAAACTTCGCGTGCAAGTAAGAATACCGACATCTCGCACGTTTGCGTAAATATCGGGAGAAAATTCGCGACATAGCTGTTCTGAGAAAAAAATGTTTGATTGTAACTATAATCACATGGAGAAATAATTACTATAAATTATGGTCAAAGAAACCATTTTTTTAAATTTAATTCTATTATAATGTTAATAATAATAATTTTATATACATGCTTATTATTGCTATCATTTTACTACAAAAAATACGTTGGGACTAATAATAATTTTATAATCTTAGTTAAATCAAACATTCTTTTTTTCTCAATGTGTCAATGAAATGATCTTAAAAATGACTTTTAAGAACAAAATTACCAATGCCTGACCACTAATGATATTTAACTATGAGCATTCTTATTTTTGATTTTGGTTTTTAAGTACGAATATTTTAACTTCCAACTTGCAATACACTGAAAAAATATGTTTGATATATGACGAAATAGAGAAATAATTGTGCTATAAGTTATGAAGAATTAAATTGTCAAAAAATTTTTTTAATTAAATCCTATCATAATGTTAATGATGATAACCTGCGTGTTACTTCTACCATTTTTGTGATACATTAAGCAAAAAATATGGTTAAGACAAGAAATAAATTAATTTTAGTTAAATCAAAGATTTTTTCTCTGTGTATGTATATATATATATATATATATATATATATATATATATATTCTATATTGAAGGTTTAAATATTCGTGTTTAAAGACTAAAGCAATAAGAATGAATTTAGGGGATAGATATCAGTGTTATTGGTGTCTAGGCAATTGGTACTTCAAGCAAAGATCGCGACACACAATGCTTTTCTCTCGGGGTCTCTCCGGGACACGTTCAGCGCGAAACAGAACGAAACTCTTAAGATGCTAGCTCGAAATTTTCCGATCGTCTCGCAAAAAAGGTCGCCGAGGTTGAAGGCACCGGGAACACTTTCAGGATAAAAATCGCGTATTCGAAATGACGGAACGGAAAGAGGCGATCCGTGAAACGACCGGAGGACCCTCACCTGCGCCGGAACTCGTTTCGTCCGGAGCACACGCCAAGGGCGTACTCGAGAGTTTGGCTTGCGATCCCGACTGCCGCGGTTCCGGCTTGACTGAAGATCCAACATTAATCGTGCGTAACGACCGAAATCTTTCTCCGGTGCCGTCCCTCTTGCTCGAGAGAGAAAAAACGCCCGCGACAGATTTCTCCCCTCTCGTATTTGACCAAACATTCTTGAGACCTTATCTCGAGTCAATGTTTTACGGGTTTGTTTCGTTATTCACGTAAGACACTCGCTAAATCATGCTTCGCAAATCGCCATTTTATTAAGCTCTCAGATATGACCGAAAATCTCATGGAACAATTTATCGCATGGTTCTGGATCGAGTTGGTCAGTTATCTAATTTTTGTATAAATTGATGTTATCAGGTCTTAATAAGTCATGTAATGCAGCTTTTAGTAATCAAGAGTTTATTAATAATTAGGATCCTATCAATATTTAAAATTCGATAATAACACTTTATATAAACTGGATAATTGATTGGAATCGACCATGGGATAAATTTCTGATCATGTAATTACGGGGAATTGTCCAATTTATTTGAATTGTCTACATTTTATCAGCACTAAAATAGTATTCTCGATTAGTTTAGTGAATTGCGGTCGTATCGTAGGATCTTTACGCGTTATATAAGTATAAAGTTCCGCGACTGAATTTAAATGATATTAACACTAAAAGTGAACTCAATATGAAACACAAGCAGCAAGTTTGACAAATCGGCTTTATTATCACAACGCGGATCAGAATTCCATTAATCCCTGTTTCCGCAAGCGCAGCTAAATCTCGAGCACGCGCGGCTTCACTGATATGTATTCATTGAAAGGAAATACACACACAACCAATACTTTACGATGCTTATTTCAATCCTCGTATTAGAAGATCGAAAAGCGTCCGAAGAGTTGCAGTCGTCGCAAGTGTTGTAGACAAGTTGACGAACCGACGACACCAAAAAAGACTACAGAGGAGAAGTGTTATAGAAGTTCGCAGATCTAAAGCTTGACTCTTTACCGGTCAATAGTGTGATAAATAAGACCTAATTGACCTAATTGAATGACCTAATTGTAAGATCTCCCTAGAAGGAAACTTCGTCCCGAGACAAAAGATAGTCGCGATTTTTCATTCGTTAAAGTAAGTTAGGAAATTGCGATTTCACGCAAAACATCAAACATCTCTCGTTATATTTTCACAAAAACATCGATTTCTTCCAGAAGTGCGCTTTTAAACGCCACCAATAAATAAACAATGCCTATCATTGGATGTACCAACGAGGACAACTGCAAGAGAGACGCATTCTTGAGATCTATATTGGGGAAGTCCGAACGCGCCGCAGGTTTGTCTCGCTGCGATTTGGCTTCGCGAAATTTGGAATGGCGAAGTATTTGGCAATGCAAAGATATTATTATTTTACGCGGACTTAGGATGTACGAAAGCACGTTTAGCTTACTATTATTTTAACGCCGGGAGTTAGGAAAGCCACATAAACAAGGGGAGAGTACCGTTTCGAAAAAACTCGAGGTGGAGAAGGGGATGCAGGAGGCAGCGGCGGTTTTATCCGGCGTGAACCCGGATTCGCCCGGAAATCCCGACGCGCGTCACGCAGCCGGAGGTAAACACCTAGGCGAGCGAGCAGCCGCTCCGGAACCGCTCGCAGTTGCGCAGAAGGATCGCATCGAGATCCCGAAAGCGGCGACGAGAGTTCCCGAGACACTTGTCCAGGCCGGCGGACAAGCCGATGTCCCAGAACCGCCGGTCGGCGGTCAGGGAACGGATTTCGAGAATCAATGGGCACCACGGGAAATCCCGGACACGGAGTTCCATGAGAGCCGGGACGAAGTCAGCCCGTCGACGGGCAGAGCAAAAAGTCGAAACGAAAATTAACGCTCTAACGCTAACTCGGTATTCTCTCCTTCGCTTCGATGGCCTGAGGCGGCCGAAAGTAAACTGCTCGACTTGGTAAATGATTCAGGCCCCACCGGTCTCTTTGTTTCGCTTAAATCTTTCTCTTTTTTTTCATTTTTCTTCATCTGGCGACCTGCGGAGTTACGACGCGACCGTGGTATACGGTAAAGAATAATTCGGCTTTGTACATATTGATCTCCTAATTAAAACGCGAAGTTAAATTAACCCTCGTCTTTTCGTTCCTCTTTCTCCTCCCTCTCCTCTCTCTTTCTCTCTCTCTCTCTCTCTCTCTCTCTCTCTCTCTCTCTCTCTCT